CGGGTATGGTTTCAATATTGATATGTTTATATTTTTTTTAGAAATTATTCCGGTTTTACGGCGAATGGTTATTACTTTGATATATGAAATGGTTCGGAATAGCTTGTTTTTGCCCACTCACATATTTTTGTTTTGCGCCCCTCCAGGTTCTAGTAGCAAAGTTTCCGTATTGATGAGGATTCGTGGCACTTCTCAGTACAGGTGGCTTCTTATAAGGGTATAATCATTATCTTACCTTGTTATACTTTACTTATGCTCGGTATCACGTGTGAATGGGCCCATACCCATTCACCGCGCACTCGTATATTGAGGCACTTTTAGGTTTAAATTTATTCATAGTTTACGCATTATCACACTTTATGGCTTCGTCACTTTCCAAGTGTCGGCCAGCATAGCTCAATTTGGAGTCCTAGCGGACATTCTGGCTCGGGGTGTGTCATTATGTGGATTTAACTAATATTAAAGATAAAATAAAACTGAAGAAACATAAAATTTGGAAAATTAAAAATATAATTAAAAAACAAAGATAATTTAACTGAAATTTATTCTCTTATTCCCTTTTTTGATCAAGACTTGAACCCTAATAAAAAAATCATGAAACTTCTTCTTGTAAATATAAACTCGAGCTTTGTCCCTTGATTTAATATTACTACTCCAGTATCTGTAAAAGTACTTCCAAAAAGCGGTTGTTGGATTATGCATGAGTTTAGCCTTGACCCTAAACTTTGTTACACTAGACTAAATAGTGGCTTCTTCATCACTAGCTATGCGAGACAATCAACAACAGCAATTACACTTGCCACAATACTACCATGATACACAAGAACCAATAATACCAATGACGGTTATGGCGAGGCTATATGATTTCAATGCAGAAGCAGCATGTTCTTTCCCAACCAAATTCTATTGCAAAACCAACTATGGCATCTTCACTAGGCATGGCTAGACAAGAAGACTACCTTCAACACAATGGTTTTGTGAACAATGCTTCGATAAACATGCCACAATATTACTACTCCAGTACACAAGAGCCAAGTAGTGGTACTGATTCCTCTCAATATGGTTCACTGCAGACTGGTACAACTAGTTTTGCTGATCAGGCACACCACTTTGTTACACAAGATCACCAGCTAGACTACTTTGTATCCGATCCCACAGCGGCTTCTTCACCAGCCAGTCTATTCAATCTTGATCAGAATCATCAAATCAACAATAAGGATCAAAATCCACTTCTTAACTTTGACTACACCCAATTTTATGATTGTGATGGTGATGACATCAAGCTTCCTCATCGGCAAAGAAGAAGTTTCATGATTTTTTTATTAGGGTTCAAGTCTTGATCGAAAAGGGAATGAGAGAACCAATTTCAGTTAAATTATCTTCCTTTTTTAATTAAATTTTTAATTCTCCAGATTTTATGTTTTATGTTTTTATTTTATCTTTAATATTAGTTAAATCTACGTAAGCATCCATGTTATTTAATGAATAAATAAGAACCATTGGATGTCATGTAATCAAAAGGCTTAAAAGAGTGTAAAAAGTATTTGTAAAAATATTTGTCTCTTGATCCTATCCCATATATATATATCTACTAATTAATGAAACCTTTTTTGTCAACCAAAAGAGAGTGAAAAGACCAATTAGTCTTCTATCACACAAAAAAATGATGGGCAACAATGTAATTTCACAGGTCCAAGTTTTACTTTTTTTATTGAATCCTCACCTACAGGTGATATTAAAATACCTCCAATATTAAATGGGAAGCCCCCAAGACTTTGCCTTCACTGTCTTTCTCCATGATCTACCTGCACTTCATCTCCAAAGTTGCTTTCCCCACCTTCAGTTCCTCTAAAGACCGCACAATTTTTCAACCTTCGAAACAAAATTCTCCGCCTCTACGTCCTAACCGGCGTCATCATCAACCTTCTGCCCCTCATTGCCTACCTTTTTTAGGGCATTTTAGAAGGTGATAAAGAAGGGGGAGACTGTGGTTGCAAACCTCTCGACCCTTTCTTCTCTCTCTCTCTCTCTTTTTATTTTATTTTATTTTATTTTAATTTATTTTAATTTTTTTTAAAGATTACAAATAGGGTTTTGAAAGTAATTATTTGTTTTCATGACTACATGGGTGTGAATCCAAATCTTGATATGCGGCAAAGCAATGGAGGCCAGGAAGGGGTTTTTTTTACCAAATATTAGGAAAAAAAGGACTAGGAGAAAAAAAAATATCAGGAAAAAAGGGTGTTTTTTTTTTTTTTTTTTTTTTACCAAATATCAGGTAAAAGAGGACTAGGAAAAAAAGACCAAGAGAAGATGCATATGTGGTAGAGGGGATGACGTTGAGGGCGTTAAGATGCCAGAGGTTGCAGACCTATCGGCAAAGAAAAGATGCAATGGAGGTCTACTCCTTTCTTTTTTGCACGATCATAGGGTTTCTTCCCATTTAATTTTATTTTTAATTCCTTTCAGATTTTATGGTTTGTCATTTTATTTTTGGAAGTTTTAACAAAACACTCATGGTACTGTTCACTTTTAACGAAAAACCACATTTTAAACTTTAACTGGCATTATTCACTATACCTTTAAAAGGGGCTTTTCGTTAAAAAAGAAGTTTTTTTGAAATTTTCGTTAGTTTTCCTTTTATTTTTTCTTTAATGTTGGTTAAAATCCACATAAGCATCTATATCATTTAATGAATAAATAAGAGCCATTGGATGTTATGTGATTTAAAGGCTTAAAAAGAGTGTAAAAATATTTGTCAAAATGTTTGTCCTTTGATCCTATCCCTATATATATATATATATAGATATCTTGCCCGCAAAAGTATTTCAATATTTAAAAAAAATTATAAAAAAAATTATTTTATTATTAAAACTATAATGTTTATACAATTATATCAAAATTTGTGTTACCATCTACTAATGTCCTTTTTTGCTGCTTTGTGTTAGCATCTACTAATGTGTAGCTCTAATTAATTTGGTTGCAAAGAGAGCTTGTATTTCTCCATGAAAGCACCTTACGTTTTTTATTATTGTAGGTGGTAAAGTGGGTGAGATTAGGGTTTAGACATAATCGAACATAGGAGAAGAATGTAGGAAAAGAGGTTACATCCATGGACCAAAATATCAATATTATCGGCGATATTTCGCCGATAATATTGATTTTGTGAGAGGGCAATATTTTCACAAGTATCCACTTAATTATCGTCAATATATCGCGATATTATCGACATTATCGGAGGAATTCGTCGTTGTCGTCTGGAACCCTACTCCCCCATTGACGACGACCTCTTCGATTGCCTCCTGGACTCCCTCCTCCTCCTCGTCTTCAACAAGATCAGTGACTTGAAGACCCTTGGCCGCTGTTGTGTCGTTCTCTGTGGCGGTGAACGACTCTCGACGATGTGGCAATCATCGGATCCCATTCGTTCGACGGTAGAACCCACTTGAACCATTTTCATTTGCCGTGAAACGACCTGTGGTGGTCGGAACACCTCTAGACTCCCACGGCCTCGCCGGAGATGGGTGTGCCTAATCCCGAGCCCATTTTGTCCCAAAAACCTTGGAAAAACACGAGATAGAACTTAAAAATTCACATCTAAGCTTCAATATAGAAAAGAAAGAGGTAAACCCGAAGCTTACCTAACCGGAGAAGATTAAGAAGCTTGCCGGAGAGTTTCTGAGTTCGTCGAGTTGCAGAGATGAGAAGGAGAGGGAGATAGACGAGGTTTGATGACGATGATGATGATGGTAATGATGTTTGCACGATGGTGCTGCGCTGTGTGTGTCTCGGCGACAAAGAGGGAAGAGATAGAGGGTTTTGAGAGAGAGAGAGATAGAGTGCAGAGACAGAAGAAGAAGAAAGAGAAAGGAAAGAGGGTCATGGGGTAGGGGACAGAAAGAGAGAAGAGTGAGGAGTGATATCGTGTTGCCATATGACAGTTTGGGAATGTTTAGGAATCTAGATAAAGGGTCCAGATTTAATCAAAATTGGGGGGGGGGGCAAAATGAAATCTCAATAAAACTTTAGGGGACTTACGAAATTATACATATAATTTGGGGTTGGGGTGTCACACGCCGCACCCACTACCTGCAACCCAGAAAAAAAAAAAAAAAATAAAACTCTAATAGTTGAGGTAGTTTTGTGTAATATATCCTAATATTTATTATGTAGGATAAATTTATATATTTAAAAAAACACCAAGGAATTCGAACCCTTCCCATTTTACTCCTTCAACACCTTGACTACCATATCACTTATGTTTTTGTGAAAATATGCTAAAATATTTATATATATAGTTTTGTTTTGAATTCTTTTTGCAAGAAACAAATCTACACATAGAGATGATGAAGATAGTGAAAATTTTGAACCTCATAGGAACTCTATGTGGTACTAAGTCACTCATGTATCTTACCATGCAATGTATAAAGTGTAAAATATTGTACTAATTCATTATATATAAATTATTATGGTGTGTTTAAACTTCTTTCATTAATTACTACATATTTTCTACACTCACAATGCTTGACAGCTCGCTATATAATCAACTTAAATTAGTTAAATACATCACACAATTCATTTCCTTCCAATTTTTTTGTGATAAACTAATAGATAATTGACTAAATAAACATCCTGCAAAGTTTCAATAAAAATTTCTAAGTTTTTCTTACAATTTCCGTGGTTTTTATTTAATTTTTATCGATATCGATAATATCCCGATATTTCCATAGAAATTTCCGTGTTTTTGGACTACTGATATTTCCGATATCATTGATATTTTATTCCTTGGTTACATCTAGGTGAGGGTTTTGATTGCTGGATATAGAATAGAGTAAAAAAATTACATTAAAATTTTATATTCATAAATTGTATTTAGTTTCAAATTTAGTAACATCTTGCCTCTAACAGTAATTGTGTAATAGAGTACAAAAAATTACACTAAAATTTTATTTTGATAACAAAATAAGAGTTCGAATAAAAATCTTGGGAACGTTTTGACATAAAAACAAAAAACTTGGGAGAACCGGAGGGTTCACAAAGCCCCATTCAACAATGCACTGTTTGCACTTTTGAGGTTTCCTCCAAACGACAGCGTGCCCCATAATCAAAATAGAATGTAAGATCCCAAATATTTTCTTTCTCTAATTTCTTTTCCACATTTTCTCGGTAGCCAAACAGCCGCTAGGTTTCCATTTTCCTTTTTTCACGCTGAATCATTTGGCCTTCATTTTTTTCTTATTTATTAAAATTAAGTTATTAAACCCTAAATCACGTTCGAATTCCGTCTTGTTTCAATCTTGTATTGCAGAAATTGAACTTTTGTGGTTGTGTGGATCAAGATCGAAGAGAAATCCAACATGGGGTTCTTAGTTACGACCCTAATTTTCGCTGTGATTGGGATCATTGCGTCCTTATGTACCAGAATTTGCTGCAACAGAGGACCCTCTGCTAATTTGTAAGTTTCCCAACCATCCGATTTTACTTTCTTGCTCTCATATCCTTCAAATTATTGGTTTTCTTTTATCTTTTTATTTTTTTTATTATTTTTTTTTATAACTTTGTTTACCAAAATGTATGTAGCTGCTGAATTTGTTAAGTGTATTATCACTCAGATACTAATAAATGTTTTGTATTTGGGAGGTGAGCAATTTTATTCATGTAAATTTCCTTGCTTGTACTATTTTCCAAGTAAAATGGTTATGTCACTGCTAATTTATGTAGGTATCTGATGTTAGAGAGTTATGCACTTCTCATAATGTAAAGAGCCAGGCTTTTCGATACTCACGAACTTGTGTGCAAACTGGTTAAACTTGTTTGGTTGGTTATTTGCTCAATTTTAAGTATTGGATAGTCTAGTCTCAATGGTCTATATGACTTTACTAAGACATTCAGGCGTGGAACTAACGGATTCATCTGTAAATGTGACTGAAAACCTTCATTCCACCTGGGATGATCTTTAGAGCTGAGCCATTGAAGTGGGGGCCTTCACGACCCTTGGCCTCGGATTGTCCATGTTGTTTAAAATGATAGCATTTATAAGGATGAGTAGACTTAATATTTGGCTTTCACAATTTAAGAGTCTTTATGTCATGCCTGCTTACGGATATGATATCGTCATTCAAAATAACAGTTTTAAAAGTTTAGCATTCAGTATCTGAGATTGGTTTGAGAAAATGCCTTGCAGTTTCTTTTAATATACAATCATGCTTGTTTGTGCAAAATATTGAATGCTATTTTCTTATGCAGGTTCCATCTAACATTGGTTATTACAGCGACGATCTGCTGTTGGATGATGTAAGTTCTTCTGTAACATATATATCATATATCGTTTTCTTGGTCATCAGTAACAAGGTAATTGATAATTAATACATAAGATTTTTGGTCCAGACTCTAGATCCAGAACAAGTAGTTATGCTCGATGAGAGAATTAGTTCCATTTTATTTTCAAAATAAATTCTTCACAAAGTCGTTGTCTGGATTTGGGAAAATGAGAATATTATTGAGTAGCTCATTGATTGGATGCCTCAGACAGAAAATCCTCCTTAGAGGGACTTTAGAACTTAGCCTGTATAGTCATTCTCTCATTGCAACAGCCAATCCGCCCGCACTAGTGATAACATGTCACATCATGGTAGTGTACTTGTGCTGGCTATCAAATGAACAATAAAAAACCCTCCTTCATTCCTCGGTTAGTTGGACTGCACAATGGTGACGGTTATGTGGTGCAATGATAGCTTAGGAAGAGTTTGTCATTGACTCATTGTGCATGATAACTTAATGCTTATTCAAGCCAACCTTCTTGCACTCCTGCCTTGCTATAAAGATATAAAGACTAGATGAATTGGTGCCTGTTGACTTTACGCATTTTCAAAACTTTGATATGATTTCTCTGTGTAATTCTCATGGGATGAAGTTTCTTCGATGATATCAGTCAATTTTTGTTTTTGGCTTACTGTGCAGCTCGAGAGATTGCATTCAGTGGTTTAATTATCCAGCTGATATCATATTTGTGTAATCTTTGGTTTTGTTAGGTGGGCAATTGTATATCTTGCACAAATGAAACCTCTCATAGTCCCTATTCTAAATGAAGGAGAGTGAAGTTGCATTTCGAAAAGCATATATATCGCCTCATTTGGTTACTTCCCGCTGGGATGATGGAGTCTCCGGAGAACAAGTTTTAGTCCAGTTGACTATTTTAGTATCGTCTGGTGTTGGATTTGTATGTAAATGTTGGAGTTTAAACGTCGAATTTGTTTGGAATTGTTATACGTACCCTCATTCATTTTAGAATTCACTGTCAGACATTCAAAAGCGGATAAATGTGAGTTAATTGGAATAAGTTATAGCCAAGTCTCCATTGTTATGAATTTTGAACTAGCTTCCGCACTGGATTCTTTATGTGATACCTTCAAGTTTATGCCCATTATTCACATTTGACAAGTCAAGATTCTTTTATATTTGCGTCTAACAAAAAGAATCTCGTTTTAATGTCATGCTTTACGTTACAAGTCTAACCTACAAAGTTTGGCAATTTGAATACTCAAGATGAAACCCTCTGTTTGGAACTTTTGATTTTAGAACCGTGGCTAAATTTTACGTGTAGTTCTCTTAATGTTGCTTAGCCAAGAGTCGTAAATATATTAGTTACTAAGCTTTGAAGTTTAGACGATGCCCTTCTTTTTTCTTCCCTTAAAAAAGCTGACCAATTGGAGGGCTCCTTACGGAAGACCACTCTTTTGGGGGCCGGGCATTTCATCCTCTAAGAAAGATAAATTGGAGGGTTCATCACGTTGTTTATCATCGTAACTGTATCACACAAAGGATGCATGTAAAGAGGGGAGGGATGTTATTACTTTCACTCGTGTGTTGTAATGAGGTTACAAACATACCTCTCTATATAAGCGTTTTGATCCGACACAACCTCACATGCATAAAAAAAAATCTTACTTTTCACCTAAAAATTTAAAGGTTGTCACCAAAGTCTAATTTGATTTGCTGAAGTTTCACAACAGTTTAAGTTCATCTTTACTTTGAATTTTGGATAATTATATGTTTTGGATATGGTTGTGTTGGCATGGGATTTTTCTTTTACTTTTTGCTAACAGAAACGGTTCAATTTCTAATTTTGTAAAACCCTAAAAAAACCAAAAGCCCCCATTTGTATATCTGTGAAAGTAAGACACTGAGAAGCAAACATGAAAACGACGATGGCTGCATGGAAGAACCCGAACGAGCTAATCTGGACGACGTCGTCCTCAATTCCCGCAGCATTTCACCACCACAAGCCACTGCCTTCCCTCAGAACGTGCATTCCTCTGAGCAGCAAAAGAAGAAGCGCATGGAAGCGTCACCGTTTCGGGGTTGTCAGCTGTTCCTTTGCTCCCATGGAATCGGCCAAGATTAAGGTCGTTGGGGTCGGCGGAGGCGGCAACAATGCTGTTAATCGCATGATTGGCAGCGGTTTACATGTGGGTTTTCCCTGTACTCTCTCTCTCTCTCTCTCTCTCTCTCTCTCTCTGTGTTTATGTAACTGATACTGAAATTATGCATAAATATGTTTGAATCCCATTTGTAACTATGCATAAATATGTTCAGTAACATGTATATTTTCTTGGGTTTTGCAGTGTGTTGTTGTAATGGTGTTTACTTTACAAACCCAATTGTGTTTTTAGTTGTTAAGAACCTGAGAATTTAAATTTCTTTACTTGTTACTGGTACTGGATTGACTTTACTGAGTGACCGACTGCAGTATGGCGTCGAGAATTGGCAATTTAGGCTTAAAGAGGAATTTTTCTGAACGTGTTACTAGCAATGCTTTGGCAATTACTTGCAATTAATTGGTTCCTGAAGCTTTGCTGCTTCTTTTGACATTAGGGTGTTGATTTCTATGCCATAAACACGGATTCTCAAGCGCTCTTGCAGTCTGCTGCCGAGTACCCGCTGCAGATTGGGGAGCTTTTGACTCGTGGGCTAGGTCAGGCACTCTGCTTTCGATCAGGGAAAACCTTTTGTGGGGGTGTGCATATATATTGGGGCATGATTTTTGCATTCATATACTATAGTGTAGTACCATATTTTGCATCTACACCTGAAGTGTTGGTGTTTATGGTATCACTGGTGGTGTCACTGGTGATGATTTGTTGTATTTTCTATGAGACCCTTTGACTTTAATGGATTTGATAGAGATGCAGGTACTGGTGGGAATCCACTTTTGGGGGAGCAAGCGGCAGAAGAGTCAAAAGAGGCTATTTCTAATGCTCTAAAAGGCTCAGATCTTGTCTTTATAACAGCTGGGATGGGCGGTGGAACAGGGTCTGGAGCTGCCCCTGTTGTTGCCCAGATATCCAAAGAGGCCGGTTGTTTGACTGTTGGTGTAGTTACCTACCCTTTCAGCTTTGAAGGGCGTAAAAGATCATTGCAGGCAGGTGTCAGTTTGGTCCTCATCTATATCTTGAATTTTTGTAGCTGCACAAATGGATCTCTGCCGATAATTACTTTATGCACTTTTCCAGAATTGTATAAAAACAAATGTTTCCTTCCCAAGTATGCTTTCACGGTTGAATGATACCATGACCTTATAGTTACTACTTAGCGTTCACATCTTGTTAGTTAACTGTTCTGTGGTTTGGAATGTTGTATTTTTTAATCCTGCTTTATGAGACTGCATTTTACATTGGCTAAAGTCATTTATTTAGGACGCCAAATGAAAAAAATCAAAAGATCATCATAACATTTGACCAATTAAAATTTAACCGAAATTGGAACTGACCCTAGTACTTCTGTTACTGGTAGTTGGCCCTAGGTCCAACTACAATAATATCTAAGTTCCCTAGATCTGAACATAATTGAAAGTTTATTAGTTTACATAATCGGTAGTAAACTAAAATTTATTATCATTGGATTTCCCCACCATTATGCAGTCTGTGGATTGGGGAGTAATCGTACATGCATTCATTGGCTTCTTCCAGGCATTTGAGGCCATTGAAAAGCTGCAGAAAAATGTTGACACTCTAATAGTGATACCGAATGATCGCCTCCTTGATATTGCTGATGAGCAGACACCCCTTCAAGATGCTTTCCTTCTTGCTGATGATGTTTTACGTCAGGGAGTGCAAGGAATTTCTGACATAATCACAGTAAGTACTATCTTGAGATGCTGAAGCATGTCAGAGTTGAAGAACTATTTTGATTTATAGCCTTGCCCTATTATAAATTAGATTATCTTTGGTGAAGTACATGATAATTTGCAAATACAAAAGGACAAAGATGCTGAAACTAATCCAGTTCTCAGAATAATCTTATTTTCATCTCTTTGTACTGAATCAAATTATAGTACCACAAATTTTTTTCTGATTATCTCAGGCAAATTAAACTGCTGTTTCCTTTTTATGCAGATACCCGGACTGGTAAATGTGGATTTTGCAGATGTAAAGGCAGTCATGAAAGACTCAGGAACTGCAATGCTAGGAGTAGGTGTTTCCTCCAGCAAAAACCGTGCAGAAGAAGCAGCTGAACAGGCGACTTTAGCTCCTCTGATTGGATCTTCCATTCAATCAGCTACTGGTGTTGTGTATAATATCACAGGAGGAAAGGACATAACCCTGCAGGAAGTCAACAGAGTTTCTCAGGTAACATTACGGAGTTTTATGCTTTAATCTTTACGGAGGAAAGGGACCCTGAAAATTTTCTGCTTCCATTTTAATCTAATGAGAGCTTTGACTATATTGAAAAGTGCTTTCTTCAGTTTTATGGAATGAGGAAAAAAGTAATTTGTGAGCTCAAACCCGCTCCTCAGGATTCTGATCATACAGTCTGCAAACTATTGTAAATTTTTTCAGGTCGTGACGAGTTTGGCAGATCCTTCTGCAAACATAATATTTGGGGCTGTTGTGGATGACCGCTACACTGGAGAGATTCATGTGACTATTATTGCCACAGGGTTTTCACAGTCATTTCAGAAGACACTACTAACAGACCCCAAGGCGGCAAGGCTGCTTGACAAGGTTGCAGGGGGTCAAGAAAGCAGGGGGATTCCGCTTCCCCTCAAGTCCTCAACGTCGTCCTCTACCATTTCATCAAAACCGTCTCCGAGAAAACTTTTCTTTTAATTCAGTTTGGTGTTTTTCTTGTGTCGTGCATTTTGCCTTGTAATGATACTGAAGCTCCAGTCTATGAGATGTCAATATTTCAGTCCAATCTATGACATTGCAACGTTTAAAACATGAGGTATGAGATTGTGGTGTGACCCATAGTTGGCATAGTTTTGTGTAATTTACTAAAAAATTTAAATTAAAAGATGATCTTTTGAAAACTGGGTGAACTTAGATCCATTATAATTTTGATTCTCACTGCACGTACTAAAAGATTCTTCATGCTGAAGATGCACGAAGATTCTTTTTATTACAACTTGTTTATTGTTTTTGTAAGTATATGAGAATCCTAATGGGCTAGGCTTTGTAAATCTCTGTGAGCTTAGCATTACTTGTATCTCAATACAGTTAACTTGTCTATATATTTGTAATATTGTGACATCAATACAATCAAGAAACTATAAGGTATCACTTGTTTTAGGTTTGCCCTTCCCAAACCCTAGCCTAGTTTCTCCTTCTTCAACTTTCTGCCGTCCCTCCCTAGCTATATCCTTTTCCAACCTCTATTTTTCCAAAGGGTCTTTTACCTTAACATATAAGGGTTTTTTTTTTTATCACAAATGGTCTATGAAATTGACTCTCATCATCAAGATCGTCTTGAAATTGAAAATCAATCAATGTAATCCCTGAAAATAGGTGTCGCAAATCAATGTGGTCATTCTGTCATAATTATGTTAAAAAATCTGTTAAGTGTTGATGTGGCACATAAATGGGCCCATATAGTCTTTTTTTCTCACAATGGTCATTGAAATTGACCCATGACATCAAAATGGTCCCTGAAAGTAAAAATTGATCAATGTAGTACCACAAGTAAGTGTCTCAAATCAATGTAGCTATTCCATCATAATTTTGTAAAAAATTCTGTTATGTGCTGATATGACACATAAATGACTCATACAAGTCTAATTAAATTTAAAAAAAAGTACAAATAGGCTTAATAATTTAATAGTTAATAAAAAAATTGTCAACCCAAAAACCCAGTTCTGCAATCACTTCTCATCCCAGTCCACATTTCTATACCTCATTCGCTCTCTATTCTATTAAAAAAAAAATCTCAATACACTCATTTTTACACACTTCGACACCCTTTACTGAATTGAACCTGGATTGAGATCAGCTTTGCTGACGCCTGGCCTATTGGCAATGACTTCTGGGACATCATCGTTAACATTTAGGCAATCAACATTCTCACAACCTTAATCTTTGGCACCTCCTTGGTGGTCTGGTGATGCAAAGAACAACGAGGTATGCCTTGAATAATAAGGTTATAACTGAGGTACGTCCATTGTTGGTTGAAAACTATTTCCACACCCCCTCTTAGCCCTTGGTTAAGCTTTATGCCTTTGAGAATTTATGGAAGAGATCTCTCTTTGGAGTAGACCCTCCAATAAGAAAAAAAAAATTCAACTGTGCAAAAAGGTATTTAGACAACTTTTTTTTAATTAATTATTAAACCCACATCAGCATGTAACAAAATTTTTTTTTATAGAATTGTGGCGGAATGATTATATTGATTTGCGACACCTATTTTTAAGGACTACATTGATTGATTTTCAATTTCAAGGACCATATTGATGGTGTGAGTCAATTTTAGGGACCATCTTGATGGTATGGGGTCAATTTTAGGGACCATTTGTGATAAAAATCCATAAATCTTGTGGGGCCTATTTATATACCACATCAACACTTAACAGAAATTTTAACAGAATTGTGACATAAGGACCACATTGATTTGCAACACCTGTTTTCAAAAAGTACATTGATTGATTTTTAATTTCAGAGATCATCTTGATGGTGAGGGTCAATTTGAGAGACCATTTGTGATAAAAACCATTACATATAATAGTAATATTTTTGTCAATAAGCTATATACATCATTTGAAGCATACACACACATGATAGTGATTAGTGAAGCACATAATGACTTATTTAATAGATCATGGGATTAGAATACTAAGTGAGTCCATGACCTCGCAGCTAAGACAACAAAACCCATAGGTGTCAATATACAAGAAGCAAAACAATAAGGCATATTGTAAAAGGTTTGGAAGGTAATTGCCTCTAAGGGCAAGGAATCAAAAAATTCCTTTAAAACTACATTCCAAAGTGAAAAATTATTGAAGTCCGCTATGACTAAAATTAAATTGCTTAACAGTTGTCTGGTTTGTAAATGATACTCTTTCGTAGTTGCAGAAAACAATAATGTCTATGCACCTTGATGTGAGTTTGATCCCCACTGATTCCCCTCCCCCTAACAACTAAAAATTTAACTCATTAACGCTTCATTTAATTGTCAAAAAAAAAAAAATCTATCAGGTTTATCTTAAAAGTATTTTCCTTTCCAAGGTTTTTTCATTAGAATTTCCCTAAATTCTTCTGGGAAATGATTTCCACACTCCACTTCTCCTACTATGCACCTCTATATATTCTCTAATTGTTGGCTTTGGACAAACACATATTTTCCAATGTATTTCAAGTCCTCGTACACTTGAGGCATAAAAAAAATTTAACCGAACTAACATCTCATTCGACGTACAATCGTTTTGGTTAATAAGTCAAACTTGAGGGCAAATATCCTATAAATTACATGTAAACACTACATGTTGGCAGCCTCCAACAGTGGAACCCATATTCTCTTTTTCCCTTGAGCCATTTCGTTCCATTAAGACTTAAAGCAACACTCGAGGTAAATCGCTTGTCTATCCAAATCTTTACTGCGTGCCTTGTTGAAGTTGTTGGAACTCCTAGCCGTTACTGCTAGGGTTCCTTGTTTTTAGGGTTGTAGTCACGTAGAGTTCAATAATCCCTATACTTGAGGGAGAAGCATGTTTTTCTGTTTTGACGTAGTCATATACCACGATTATAGGACCTGTAAAATCGTGGACTGTTATTCTCTCTTTCAATTTTAGTGTAAGGCTATTTATTAGCCACAACAGTTGTTTCATTCAATAAGAATGCTCCAAGTTTTATGTGTGCTTTCAAACTTTACATTGCAGAGCTATTGCAATCTCTTTGGTTCTAACATCTGGTATCGGAGCCCTGCCACAGGGCATGATCAAAAGCTTGCAACCCAGGTACAAAAGTGAAGAAACAAAGACATGGCATCTGAGAATAGTTTCGTGCAACCAACCGTTCCATGGTTTGACGGCCACTACGACCATTGGAGTATGCTAATGGAAAATTTCCTTCGTTCCAAAGAGTATTGGAACTTAGTAGAGACAAGGATCACTGCCGTAACATGGGGGGTCAAATTCTAGCGAAGCATGGAAGAAGACCATTGATAAACTGAAGCTGAAGGATTTGAAGGCTAAGAACTATTTGTTCTAAGCCATTGATTGCTCAATATTGGAGACCATTATGAAGAAGGATACTACGAAGGATATAGGGATTTTTTGAAACAGAAATATCAAGGAATTGCACGCATTAAGCGTGCTCAATTGCAGGCTCTTTGCAAGGAGTTCAAGATGTACATGAAGAATGGAGAATCAGTTAATGACTATTTTGGGAGAACTCTTGTCATAGCTAACAAGATGAGAATTCACGGGGAGAAGATGGATGATGTGGTGATCATTGAGAAGATTTTGAGGTCCATGACTTCGAAATATGATTATGTTGTCTACTCAATTGAGGAATCAAATGACATGGATACCTTGTCCATAGACAAGCTTTAAGGTAGCTTATTAGTGCATGAGCAAATGATTAGTCGACATGTGGTGGATGAACAAGCACTCCAAGTCACTCATGGAGTCCAGCAATGAGGACGAGGTCGAGGTACTTACCGAGGAAGAGGAAGAGGAAGGGGTATTGGGTTTGACAAGTCTATCCTAGAGTGCTATAATTGCCATGATCTAGGGTACTTTTAGTGGGAGTGTCTTAAGAAACCCAAGGAAAAAAAAAACAAACTACATCGAGACGAAGGAATAGATACTGTTGATGGCTCTTGTGGATTTCAAGGAGGCTACAATGGAGCATATTTGGCTTCTTGATTATGGATGTAGCAATCACATGTATGGCAAGAAGGACATGTTTTGTAAGCTTGATAGCAGTTTCAAAGAGTCGGTGAAGTTGGGAAATAACTCGAGTCTGATTGTACAAGTCAAGGGTAATGTTCGAATAGAGGTGAATGAGATTGTACATATGATCACAAGTGTTTTCTACATGCCAAATTTGAAAAACAATCTGTTAAGCATCGGTCAGTTGCAAGAGAAGAGGCTTACCGTGCTTATTTAACATGGAAGATGTAAGATCTTTCACTTTGAGATAGGTCTTATCATGGAAAAGGAGATTAGTCATAATAGAATGTTTGCAGTACTGGCTCGTTGTCCACCAAAGGAACAAAAGTGCCTCTCCTTGTTGACCACAAATCAAGCAAGCCTTTGGCACTGTCGTTATGGGAATCTCAGTTGGAATGGGCTCAAAGTGCTTCAAAAAGAAAATGGTGAAAGCGCTGCCTCAGTTCACAGTTTTTCAAAGGGTGTGTTAAGACTGCTTGGTAAGAAGACAACACCATGATCCATTTCCCAAGGAAAGCTTATGGAGGGCCTCCAAGAATCTTTAGTTGGTGCATGCTGACATATGCGGACCAATTAACCCTATCTTGAACAGCAACAAACAGTATCTCATCACCTTTATTGATGATTTCAGTAGAAAATGGCATAGTAGGGGAGGAAAATGAAGACGAGTCTGAAACTGATGAAGCTTTGGGTGAGATCAAATCCGGGTATGATCAAAGTGGTTCATTGGATGGAAGAGACACTCAAAATGATGAGAACTCACCTTGGGCGGGAGAAACTCAAAGACCACCAACTTCGATGAGAGATTATAAAGTAGGTCAGGGTCTATCTAATGAAGAAAGTGCTAGAATGGCTCATCTTGCTTTATTCACTAATCAAGATCCCATGACTTTCGAAGAAGCTGTGAAATCTAAAAAATGGAGGCAAGCCATGGATCAAGAGATTAAAGCCATAGAGAAGAACAATACGTGGGAACTAATGGAGCTGCCATCAGGAGGAAAAACCATTGGAGTAAAGTGGGTGTTTAAGATAAAACTCAATGAGAATGGGGAAGTGGACAAGTACAAAGCTCGACTAGTTGCTAAGGGATAATGTCAATAATATGGGATTGATTATACACAAGTATTTTCACTAGTGGCTCGTTTGGACACCATTCAAATTGTCATTTCCTTTGCTGCTAAAAAATATTGGGTGATATACCAACTTGATGTCAAATCTGCATTTTCTGCATGGGGAGATTAATGAAGAGGTGTTTGTCGATCGGCCACCAGGATATGAACATAAGGGGCATGAATCTAAGGCGTATCGACTCAAAAAGGCATTATATGGACTCAAACAAGCTTCCCGAGCCTGGTAAAGCTGTATAGAGTCATACTTCATCAAGGAAAGCTTCAACAAATGTCCTTCTGAGCATCCCTTGTTCATTAAGATAGCAGATGGAGGTAAAATTTTAATAGTGTGTCTTTATGTTGACGATCTCATTTTTTCTGGCAATGATAAAGCAATGTTCGAACAATTTAAAAAGTCTATGATGGTTGAGTTCGACATGACTGACCTTGGAAAGATGAGATATTTCCTTGGTATTGAAATGATACAAAGATCAGATGGGATTTTTATCAGTCAACGAAAGTATGCTGAAGAGGTTTTGGAGAGATTTAACATGGATCGGTGCAACTCATTGCTCAATCCCGTGGTCCCTGGTTTTAAACTCAGAAAGGATGAAGAAGGAGTCGAAGTTGATGGCACTGTTTACAAGTAGATGGTTCCTCATGTATTTAATAGTGACACATCCCGACTTAATGTTTATTGTCAGTTTGATTAGTAGATACATGGAATGTCCTACTGAGTCTCACTTGCAGGCAGCAAAAAGGGCTCTAAGGTACGTAAATGGGACGATTGATTTGAGGACGTTCTACAAGAAGAGAGGAGCTGAGAAGCTTATTGGGTATACGAACAGCAACTACGCTAGTGATCAGGATGATAGGAAGAGCACCTCAGGTTATGTGTTTATAATGAGTTTAGGTGCTGTTTCTTGGTCTTTAAAGAAATGGCCAGTTGTTACATTATCCACCACTGAAGCAGAATTCATAGCAGAATCATTAAGTGCATGCTAAGTCGTGTGGTTAAGAAGAATCTTGAAGAGTCTCAATTAGGTACAAAGTAGTCCAACCGTGGTGTATTGTGATAATGTTTGTTTCAGAGATCAAACTCTAAAAGAATCCTGTAATGCATGGCCGTAGCAAGCATATAGATGTAAGGTTTCATTTTCTTTGAGATCATGTCAAAAGTAGAGTAGTGGAGCTGGTGCAATGTTCTACTCAAGAATAGGTTGCAGATATCCTAACAAAACCATTGAAGCTTGATGCATTTTTGAAGATGCAAGGTTTACTTGGTGTCTGCAAATATCCAGGAGTAAACTGAATGTCTATGGTATTCAGTTTAAGGAAGGATGTTGAAGTTGTTGGAACTCCTAGCCATTATTGCTAGGGTTCCTTGTTTTTAGGGTTGTTAGTCACGTAGAGTTCAATAATCCCTATACTTGAGGGACAAGCATGTTTTTCTGTTTTGACGTAGTCATATACCACGATTATAGGACCTGTAAAATCGTGGGCTGTTATTCTTTCTTTTAGTTTCAATGTAAGACTTTTTATTAGCCACAACAGTTGTTTCGTTCAATAAGAATTCTCCCAAGTTATACGCGTGCTTTCAAACTTTGCATTGCAGAGCTCTTGCGATCTCTTCGGTTCTAACAATCCTGCTGCTTCTTCCACGCAACAAACCACAATCATGTCTTCTAATTCCGCCCAGCCTTTTCTCTCTTCACCCTCAGCTCTTCTACGAACCACCTCCTCTTCTCTTTCCATTATTAATCAATCACCGCGTAAGTCCCTTTCAGTTATTTTTTACTATTTATCTCCATCCATGGCGCACTTCCAAGGTCGTGGATCTTGCTTTTCTTTTCAATTTCTTTCCTGTTTCTTTTTTTAGAAAATTCAAGAAGCCTTGTTCAAGTTTTTTCTTTCTGTTGTGGATCGTTGTCGACAAAAACTACTGAAGATATAATAAATTCCACATCCAAACATGGACACTTACGATCTTAATTTTCAGCGTCAAGAAGGTTGCATGCAGATATAAATATATCTTCTTAATTTAATTTTGGTAATCTATGTTAGCTCGATTTGGTTTAAGAGAGATTCTCTTAGCTAGGCTCTTCCATTAATCAGCATTATTTCTGGTCTTTTCAAAACTTATTTACCTTACGGTTATCAAATTCACACTAACTTTTAACACTAGATACCAGTAATTAATTTGACTGCACTACCCTTTCTAGGTGTTTGGCTGTTCGGGGCTAAAGACAAAAGAGTTTTTCGCTCCAAATGCAGTACGGTTTCAAAACCCCGAACTCAAGGTCATTTTTCTATATTATTTTACTTTCATTCTTATTTTACATATACTTATTTTACTCACGGTAACATACAAATGCAGATCTCGTGTTACAAAATATTCTGAAGTGGCACGAGAGTGTGAAGGATGACATAGAAGGAGATGAAGCAGCTCCTATGGTATAGTACCTACTCTATATATACTTCTATTTTCAGTACTATTTTAACTTTCTTACAATTTCATCTTTTCTGATTTTTTTTTCTATAGGATTTTCAATCGATTAATAAGATCAAGGAACATGTTGAATCCATTAGATCAACGTTGGTTTCGATGGAGGACGGGGAGATATCAATCTCGGCATACGACACCGCATGGGTGGCTAGCTTTAGTGGAAGATATTGAGGGTGAGGGAAGTGGCCTGCCCCAGTTTCCATTCAGCCTCGATTGGATTGCCAACAATCAGCTGCCAGATGGTTCTTGGGGAGATAGTGAAAGTTTCACTTCTCCTGATCGCATCATCAACACCATTGCTTGTGCAGTAGCACTCAAATCGTGGAACGTTCATCCTGGAAAATGCGAAAATGGTGATACGGTACAAACTATACTCGTTTTGACCAACTTCACAATGTTTAATTCCCGCCATGTGATCTCGACAGATCACTAATCAACTGAAGAATAACGTTTAATTGTTTAACTGTGACCATATTCTTATTGTAGGAATGGCATATTTCAAGAACATAAGTAATCTTAGGAACGAGAATGCTGTGCACATGCCGTTCGGGTTTGAAGTTGCTTTTCCTTCAATTCTTGAATTAGCTCGGAGTTTAAACCTGGAGGTACCTGATGACTGTCCTGTGTTGAATGAGATTTATGCCATGAGAAATATAAAGCTCGAAAAGTAAGCATATGAGTCATCATAATTTTTGTATTTTGTATTTTTCTGTTTGTTAATTGTTTATGATAAATTGGGTTCTCATCTCTCATTTTTTTTTTCATTAATTGAAACCTTATTCCTCTTTCATTTTTTATGAAGGTCTCTTGACTTTTCTCCATGTCATTATTTGAACATTAAATTATTTACAAGTAATTATATGTCATTTTTTTTAAAACGAAAAACTTATTAATCATTTTCCAATATATTTGTTTATGTTGTAGGCATAATTTACTGAACAATTATAGAGGCCATAAAGAGAGGGAAGGTGCGGCAATGGTAGAGAGAAAGAGAGATGTGTAATTGTGGGTGTGTGTTATTCCACCCCATTGTGCCTTTATTTATAGTAGTAGGGAAGGTTAATTCATTTCCCTTTAGGATTACAACATTTAATAGGTAATCTACTCCTAATAGGAATATAAGAGATATTCCAAGATACACTAGGATTTACATAATCACATTCTTATTCTAATAGGACTGCAACACTCCCCCTTAAGTGTGTAAATACTCAAGTAAATGGCGTATCAAGTCTTTAGTGATGAAGTACAGTTGATGAAGTCGTTGGCACAATGAGCGAATGCGAGTCTCAAATCAACAGAATAATGCATAAAAAGTAAAACTCGCAAAACCTCGCTATGGTAAAACCCAAGGTGGGAGAAAAACCCATAGTCTAAGGAGAAAAGTGAGAAGTTGCATTAAGTCAAAACTATGCATCTTTTAAACGCAAGTAGAAGAGCTTTCAAGGGTATGATCAGCCCAAGATGAGTGTCTCATTAAAACCTAGTTAGGTATCAAAAACCCAGTGGGAAAAATGCTCCTAATCGTAGGGAAAAAGAGTACATTAAGATCAAGTGAGTATACTTCTTGTCGATGCTCAAAATCAGTGAGGACTTTGGTACAACAGAAAGTGTTAAGTTAGTGACCTTCGCTAGATTGCTCCGGTCACTAGTGTGGATAAGTATGCAAATGGATAGAGACAGGGAAGCAAACACAAGATGTACGTGGTTCACCTAGATTGGCTACGTCCACGGAGTAGAGGAGTTCTCATTAATGGTGAAGGGTTTACACAAGTACATAGGTTCAAGCTCTCATTTGGTGAGTACAAGTGAATGATTTAGTACAAATGACATTAGGAAATATTGTGGGAGAATGATTTCCTTTTATATAAGAGAGTTTCTAGCTTTGTTTTGACATTGACACGTGTCGTGTTGTGATTGGCTTTCGATGTTGACACGTGTCGCGCTATGATTGGCTTCTGATGTCGACACGTGTCGCGCTGTGATTGGCCTCATGGTTGAAGGGAAACTCTTCTGGGTCCTTGACGGTATAACGTTGATCGATGTTTGGTAGTTTAGGGATTGGTCAAGTATAGTACAGACACTTCTGGATACTCCCCCTGAGTTTGACATAACTTCCAAATGATAAATACAAGCATTGCATATGATAGTTAGGCATACCAATTCCTCGGACAAGCTTTTGGAAGGTTGACTTCAGCAGTGACGTCGTGTAGAGGTTGGCAAGGTTGTCTGGGATCAGCTTGCATGACTTCAATCTCCTGATGCTTAGCTAATGTAGATGTAGACGCAATATGTCTTGGTGTTGACTTCGTTGATATATCATGGCTTGGTCGGTTGATACATGCGGCATAAGCTTCATGGATCGTCGTTGGGATTCAACGATGGATGAAAACACAGCAAGTACTTCGAATATGCTCAACAAGAACTCCTAACCATGTCTTACTTGTGGCATAGTGAAGTAAGGTGAGTCTTGGAACAATTCGAAGATTTCACAACTAAGGTCATATTGTGAACCTCCAAGATATAGCGATATTCCTAATGGTAATGACATAATAATTCGGGGATTTTGCCTTATGCTAGTTTGATAAGTAACCAGCGTCAGTATAACAAATAAGGCAAGCATCATTTCAAGGATTAGGGGGGTTGGATCTGCTCGAGATGCGTTGAGATTTGCCCTTGTAGTACCTTCAAGGTACGTCTTTAATACCAATTCAGTGGATGCGTGTAGACGTAGTGCTGCATCTTTACCAAAATCAACAGCAAATGAGATATCTTGTCTAAATACAATGAGCTAAGTACAACAAAGCGCAACGTTGAACTTTAGATATGAAATTTCAGATTTCATAACCTTTTCAAGGGTCTCATTTTCATATAACGTATGGACGATCAAAGGTATACTCAAAAGCGACACATTTGGGGTGTAGTTTGACTAGTAGACCAAAATACCGTCAAAACAATGCTTCAACTTCAGGTTAAGGCATAAACGAGTTTTTCTAAGATCTTTCATCTCAAATTCCATCTTCAGGTGCGAGGCAATTTTCTCAAGCTCTTTCGGAGTCTTAGTGAGATTCGTGTTAACAACACAAGCTGTAACTCTAGCAATTTGGAATAAGACTTCATAGTTTAACACGCAAGGGCATAATTCATATCCCTGACTGATCAAATAATCACTTAGATGGGTATACCACATCCGTCGGATTGTAAGTGAACGCCTCAAACAAGTTAAAAGGGTGCTCCGTGGTTTTGGAACTATTTGAACAGTCCATGTAATTCTTCGAGAACTTACTTGTAAATTTCCGTATCTATATCCCCGTAAAGAAAACACTGACCACCTTTCATAATGTTATTATCAATCACAGGACATTTTGAGAGAAACCTTGCACCGTAAGGCATGCATCATATCTCACTATTTCATTCATCTCATAACGCTTCCTTTCCCATTGGTAACACAATAGGTTTACCTTGGACAGTGTAGGAACGACAAGTCCAAAACACATTTTGGTAAGGAATTTGACCTGGATTGTAACTTTAGTTGTCCAAACAGTTCTACGTTGTCATTTAATCAACAGAACACAGTTTGATATCGTCGCTTTTCATTCATGTCGGTAGCTACCATATAAGTGAAAACATCATCGATGATAATCTCATTTCAATTCCATTTAGCTCATCCAAACTAGTATACTGGACCAAGAACTTTAAGATTCGGGAGAAATCCGGATTAATCTCATGAGATGGAAATGATTTGAGACAGCAATCGAGTTTAGATTCATTGTTGTGCCACGTCTTCCTCTTCCAGCGAAGTGAATCCTACGAACAGAATGATCTATTGTGCCTTAGGCCAAGACATATTGATTGGCTATTCGTCGGTGTATCGGACTGTCTAACAGGGGCGGCACACCCTCTAGGGATGTTGACTCGATGTCTGTTAAGTACGTCTATCCTTGTAGGTATGTTTGTAGCTGATATATAATCTCGTCACTTTAGCTAGATAAGAGGAATGCATCTGGAGCAACATTCTGAAAGCTAGAATTCATCGCACTTATCATATATGTGCGATATGGGGATCGAGATAAGACATAGTGGGCAACGTCCATGCAAATTCACGTCGTTCTACAGAAACGTCGACATTCTTATCTCCCCCTAACAGCGGCAAGACTGTCTCATTAAAGTGACAACCCGCAAATGAGCAGTAAAGAGATCGCATGCAAGGGTTCGAAGAGAGCCAGTGTGAAGGAGAATCATGAACGACAAAAGATACACATCCTTCTTTGAGGACCCATATTGGTACGTTGCGGCGACGCAACTTGGCACATGGAATGCTCACCCAAATACGTAAATACAAAAATCATTAGGTTCGTACTGGTGCAAAATATATAAGCACACAAATTAAACCCTCTTTTTATCAATTGTAGCAAAGTATGTAAGTAGGGATCGTTCTAGGCCGGGGATTATGAGGGATTGCTAAATCACTTGAAAACTCACTCAAAACGTAAAAACAAAGTTTAAAACACTAAACTAGACTCAAAGAATGCAAAACTAAACTATAAAACACCAAAACAAAGCAAAAGACTCAAAACCACAAATAAACACTCAAAACTGCCTTAAAAACACTTTCTGGGCAGTTTTGAACACACACACAAATTTGGACGAAAATAGGTTTAAACTTGATTCAAGACACTTAAAAACACAAACTAAATTGATTTCTAACTAATCTAACACTTCAAAATAAATGGGGATTTGGTTTTGACGAAAATTGAAAACAAAAACAAAACTTGTAAATTGAACAGATTCTAAAACGAATTTGGTTGAATTGAAGTGATGGAAAACTAGCTAAGGGGTTCTTCTCCACACATGTCACACTTGCATACAAAATGATTTCTAATTGCAATTCAATAAACCATGAATACTCAACACTCCAAGTTAATTAGGTCCGCTTAAATTAACTTTCAGATTTCCCTTATGTCAATGAATTGGACGGAAAAAGCGTATCGCAATCAAATTATTCCTCAAAAGTTCTCTATATGAAAGCGCATAATAAAGATACAATCAAAGATCATTACGTTCAATGGAAATCATAAGTATTGATGAGGCACTCGTAACTATGAAAGCGCATGAAACTTATGCCAAGAATTTACTTAACACAATTGTGATCAACAACTTTTACTACTTGTGAATATAAGTTCATAACGATTAGGTGAAATTTCCTTATATTCTAGCATTAGATTTATGCATGACAATTAAGCGTGCACTCTCAACCAACACACACAAATCAGTTTAATTCAAATAGATAAGCAAATTGAATCCACAACTTATAAAACGCAATTAGAAGTAATCAAATCATATAGCAAGCATAAACATGGTTTCGAATCCCCCCCTAGCCAAGGGGGGTTTAGTTCCTCATACTCGCAAAGCAAAGATACATAAATTTAGACATTAAAATCCAAAGAAAGAAAACACCTAGATGATCCAACTTGGACAGCAGGTGCATCCACAAGTCTTCTTTCCTCCTTGCTGCGGCACTTGGTCTAAGAGTAGGGTTTGGGTGGTATTTGTATGGGAGAATGGGTAGGGAATGGTATGGAAGGGTTTAGGATTAATGGGGTGTGCGGCTAGGGTAAAAAGAATCAGAAAAATATGGAAGAATGGTGAAGGAAGGCTGCGGCAAAGAGAGGGAATGATTTCTGGCTAAAATTCTGAATATGGAGAGGGTGGTCTATGCGGCATAGAGTGAAAACACATATATATAGGCACCACAAACCCTAGAGAAATCAGGTTAGGCAATGGGCTAGGGTTTAGGTGCGGCAAAGGGTGAAAATCCACAAGGAATTAGGGTTTTGGCCCACTTAGTTTCAGAAAGGGATTTGTATAACCCAAATCCACAAGGAAAGGGCCTAACAAGTCAGAATCCAAGAGGGATTGGGCTAGAAAGGTGCGGCCTAAGTCTAAGAGGGTAAGGATAGGTCATCTAAAAGCCCAAAGCCAAGAATAGAAACTCTCAAAAATGGAAACCTCCAAGAATAGAAACTTCCAACTTTAGAAACTTTGGTTTC